TACACTTAAAAATGCTGCAGCCTGGGAGCATCAATAAAACAGTTGTTTCCTCGATCATCGGAAACATTACTGTAAATTCTCTTAAAACATCAAAAAGTATCAAACCATCAAGTTGTCAGAACTTTTCCATCACAAAGTACCGGATCGCTTCTCATGACATCCGTACTACAAACCACATGAGAATGTCTGCTTATTGGCTAGCTGTGAACAAAGCAAATGCAGGAAGTCATTGGTTGATTTTATGGTTTACTGCTGCAGTGTGTGTACTCTCCAGGTCTGCAGTACTCTGTGGCATCCCCGATGCAACGCATACCTGCTACTCTGCTCAGACCTGCGACGTACACCTGGTAGTTTAGTCGAGGCTGGACCATGTTCTCTCTATAAACGAACCGTTTTAGAGTTTAGATTCGAAACTTGACAGAGTCCGTGCAGTTGCCGTTGTCCGACCTCCACACACAATCCACAGCAAGGAGTAAAACAAACCCGAGTTCGTCAGAAAGTGGTGCAGGTGTGAATGCACTCTAATGATTACATTGTATTTTTCAGCTGACTGTCTGCATCCCCACCTGCATGCCTTACAGAAACCGCTGCATTAGAGGGGGAGGAAGTCTTTTAGTGACCAACCATCATGTACAATCCAGAACAGCGCCAGAACAGAATCAGTGGACAAGCTTTATTTTGAAAGTTCGAACGCTTATCTCATCTTGCATTTTCTCAACCGGATAAGCTTGTTGGCCAATCTGGTGGCGTGGTTGTCTGTTATGTTATTCTTTACAGAGGATTTCATCTCACGGTCTCCACCTTCACCATATTGGTGCTCATACATCTCTTGACCTTTGTTCTGCAGCAATGAATTGAATATTTGTCCAGTACTTTGATTTAGAAGCCATGAGACTTGAACAACTTTGAGCCTACTTTGAGTGACCTGTGTTTCTTTTTCGTGTACTGAGTGGTTTCTGTCATAATTTAGTCCTGCTTATACAACAAAATGACTGGGTGTGCCTCAGAAGTTAGTGAGGGTGGTCTCTGCCTATGCAGCTACACTTGGAAACTATTCTAAAGGTCATTAAACCACATCTTTATTGACATATGCTGAGGTGTCAAAAATCATTGTTACAGGTGACGCACAGGCGAGGTCGTCAAGTTTTGGGTTGTGTGTTAATCGGTCAACTCAAACACTTTGTCATCTTTTATAAGTATGTTGGCACTGTCATGCATTTTTTTCTCTCACTGCCTCTTGAGCTAAAACTGTTTTAAAAATGTACCTTTTTGCAAAAAAAACAACAACAAACAAACCAAAAAGCACAAGTGAAGGTGGCAACACATTTCTTAATTTAAATGTGTTTAAACTAAGGCTACGTCCACACGTACACGGGTATTTTTGAAAACTGAGATTTTCCGTTTTCATTTTAAAAAATAATCCCGTCCACACGTAAAGGCAGAAATGAAGAAAAACGCTGCTAGGAACATGCCAAAGCAGCAGGTGGCGCTATATTCCTAACCGTGCAGAAATGTTGGCCAATCAGAAGTCTAGAAGCCTCGGTGGGAAAAAGTAAACAAAGCTGGGGCATAGAAGCAGAACCGAGTAGCATGTATGGAGGGACAGTAACTGTGTGTGTATATGTAAGCATTTAAACACTGCAGAGAGTACAAGTAACAGTAACAGTGTTGTAGAAATTCATTTCACCAAAACAATAACGTGGCGCACAGTGTGACGTCAAAAAATGCGCACACCTTTGACGCTGCGTTTTCTCCGTTTTTCTCGTCCACACGTAAACGCAAAAACGGAGTTTTCAAAAATATCCACCCTGGCCGGAGTTTTTAAAAATCTCAGTTTTCAGTGACCAAAAACGCCGTTTACATGTGGACGAAAGGTGCAAACGCATAGAAAAATCTGCGTTTTCAAAAATACCCAAGTACGTGCGGACGTAGCCTAAGACACTGATACTGGGTAATCTGGGAACACAAAACTTTGTTTCAGAGATAAGTGATAAAATGCTGTTGGTATGTATTTAATTACCTCTAAAAAGGATCTTTGTCCAGTAAAGTCACTTAATACAGAGTTTAGTAAGAGTGTAATTATTTGATTACAGCAGGGGCATGTAGGTTTAAATGGTTACTGTGAAGGGCCGCGGGCCGCAGCCCCCCCCCCCAAATTTCACAACCTTCAAATAGTGACTGAAATTGAAATCCTTTTTCTTCTTTGGCTTTCTCAGAGGTCACCAGGCAGCTAGAAGCTGGTTTTATTATCCATCACTTTCAGATATCAACCCCAGGTGAATTCCACTATTAACCCAGGATAAATGCTCTTTAAAGATGTCTCCGGGGCAAACGTAAAGGAATATATTCCAGGGTGGAAACGGAGAGCAGACCTGCCCCTCCTTTTATTAATCATTCATTCATTCACTTTTTTGCTTTTACTGCTTCAGAAAAAAAAAAAATCAAAGGAATGCGTGTCATGGAAACACAGGTCTGATTTCACGGTTTCAGGATTTTACAGACACGCAGCGGGAGACTCAGCCCTGCGAGCCAACTCAAACATAAAGCGAGATCTTTCACATATTAACTCATTCTTTCTGCCGAGCTCTCCTGGGTCTCATGCTGTCATCGACTTCAAAGGTTAAATATTTTCATCCAAACATGAAAAACTTTAAGCAGTTAGTCACATTTGAAAGGGACACTTTTATCACAACTTTGGGTCTTGGTAGCACTCTGTTTCCATGCTGTTTTAAAACTATTTTAAGAGTCCAATTTAAGAATGATGACTCAGTGACTTAGGGTAAGTCATCAGGTCTTTCTAATATGCATTGGCCTGTGTCCATTTATCATACCTGAGAGGAACAATGCCAGAAAATAGTTTTCTATCAACATCCCTAATTATAGCAAACA